TGATTTTTTTAATAAGCTTCGTGCTGTTTTAAGTTATAATCTATGCACTGTTTAATTGGCGTTTCACTTGACACATGCTTAAGAAGTCCCTATGTTGACATGGTGAAGCTTTTTCAGCTTATGTTTTTTGCAGGTTTAACGAACAAATTTTTGCACGTTAAAGCTTTATCGGATATTTTATGTTGTTATGTTGAATAATTTTCACTTAGCACTTGTATGGGAAGATGCTGTTTTGGTCTATTCAGCGGCCAAAACCTTGCAAGGAAGAAATGTTAACTCAAATCGAAGTTTAAAATCTGTTGGAACTCTATTCCTATATTGGCAACCTAAAACTTTGAAAATTTGTTTTCCACAATTTATTTAACTAAATGTTGAGTTTTCAACCCTATAAAAGGGAAAGGCGTGCTGTCAGGTTACACTCTGGGGTTACAAATCTGGCGTCTAACTATGAATGTTGAAATCCTTTCGGTTTTCGAGATATGGCGTTTTTTATGATTTTTTTAAATTAAAAAACATCGAGGTATAAAAAACTAACCGAGCTTGAAATTCTTAACCGTATAGTGAAGCGCATAGTGAAGCGCAATCAGGTTACACTCAGGAGTTGAAAATCTGTTGTCCAAGTTTGACTGCTCAAATTCTTTTTGGTTTTCGATACATGGCGTTTTTTATGATTTTTTCAGTTTTTTGTTCACATAGATATAGAAAATCAATTAAACTTAACATTTTTACCCATTTAGTGGGGTCATGTCAGTTACACTAAGAATTTGAAAATTTGTTGTCCAAGTTTGACTGCTCAAATCCTTTTGATCTTCGAGATTGGCGTTTTCTATGATTTTTTTCAATTGTTTTTTTTTTCGAAAAACGTAGAAGGAAAAAAAACTAATCGAGCATGAAATTTTAAACCCTATTGTAGTGTGCTGTGTAGTCACGCTCAGGTTTTGCGAATCTGGAGTCCAATTTAAACTGCTCAAGTTCTTTGATTTTTGAGATATGGCGTTTTTATGATTTTTCCATTTGTTTTTTCGAAAAATTTAGACGTAAAAAAATTAATCGATTTTAAAATTCTTGCCTCCAAATGTGAATGCGTTTTAGGAAGCTTTTTTAATGTTCAACGATCTATTTGAAGCACCGTCGGTGCGAGTAATGCGCTAGTTTGATTTGATTGTTCTACCATCTCAGAATTTTTTTCAACTATAGTTTAACGTTTTTCTATTCATTTCTGTTCATCTATGCGGCTAATCTAGCCAGTCAGGTCTGCGTCCCACCCTCCCTAACCTGGGATAATGTTTTGCACACTTTCAGTCTTAATACGCGCATGCGCACGCTCCGTCAATTTTGAATGGATGGCAGGGCAGCTGAAAACGCTTTCGCAGGACAAATTCGCCCTTCGGGCGCAATTAAAATGCTCAGTCAAAACTGGACATGATTACTTGAAAACAACAAAGAATTTTTTATTTCTTGTTTTTGGATAATTGAAAGTCGGATGCTCTTCTACTGGGCCCTAAAGGGCCCACAGAGCATCCTGCAAGTCCGTCAATCTAAAATTTTCAAAAAAAAAAAATAGAAAAACGTAGATGAAAAAAAAACTAATCGAGCACGAAATTTTAAACCCTATTGTAGTGTGCTGTGTGGTCACGCTCACGTTCTTCAAATCTGGAGTCCAATTGTAACTGCTCAAGTTCTTTGATTTTTGAGATATGGCGTTTTTATGATTTTTCCATTTGTTTTTTCGAAAAATTTAGACGTTAAAAAATTAATAGATTTTGAAATTCTCAACCTTATTGTAGGGTGCTGTTAGGGAACATTCGGGAGTTGCGAATGAACTCAAGGTACGACTTCTCAAAATCTTCGGCTTTCGAGATATGGCGTTTTTTGTGATTTTTTTAAATTGTTTTTTTTTTTCGAAAAACTTAGATGTAAAAAATTAATCGCGCTTGACTTTCTTAATTGTTTTGTGGGGCGGTGTCAGGGTATACTCTGGAGTTCCGAATCTGGATTCCAAGTGTGACTTTTCGAATTTTTTGGTTTTCGAGATACAGCTTTTATGATTTTTTAAATATATATTTTTTAAACTTAGGTATAAAAAGTTAAGCGAAATTGATTTTCTCAACGCTATTAGGAAGCTCTCAAGCAAAACTCAGGGGTGCAATTATGACTTTTCAAAATTTTTTGGTTTGTGGGATATGGCGTTTTTTCTGATTTCATTTTTTTTTTTCAAAAACTTAGACTTAAAAAAATTTAACGGAACTTTAAAATCTCAACCCTATGGTGGTGTGCTGTCAGAGTACACTCAGGGGTTGCAATTCTTGCCTCCAAATGTGAATGCGTTTTAGGAAGCTTTTTTAATGTTCAACGATCTATTTGAAGCACTGTCGGTGCGAGTAATGCGCTAGTTTGATTTGATTGTTCTACCATCTCAGAATTTTTTTCAACTATAGTTTAACGTTTTTCTATTCATTTTCTGTTCGAAAAACTTAGATGTAAAAAACTTAATCGCGCTTGACTTTCTTAATTGTTTTGTGGGGCGGTGTCAGGGTATACTCTGGAGTTCCGAATCTGGATTCCAAGTGTGACTTTTCGAATTTTTTGGTTTTCGAGATATAGCTTTTATGATTTTTTAAATATATATTTTTTAAACTTAGGTATAAAAAATTAAGCGAAATTGATTTTCTCAACGCTATTAGGAAGCTCTCAAGCAAAACTCAGGGGTGCAATTATGACTTTTCAAAATTTTTTGGTTTGTGGGATATGGCGTTTTTTCTGATTTCATTTTTTTTTTTTCAAAACTTAGACTTAAAAAAATTTAACGGAACTTTAAAATCTCAACCCTATGGTGGTGTGCTGTCAGAGTACACTCAGGGGTTGCAATTCTTGCCTCCAAATGTGAATGCGTTTTAGGAAGCTTTTTTAATGTTCAACGATCTATTTGAAGCACTGTCGGTGCGAGTAATGCGCTAGTTTGATTTGATTGTTCTACCATCTCAGAATTTTTTTCAACTATAGTTTAACGTTTTTCTATTCATTTTCTGTTCATCTATGTGGCTAATCTAGCCAGTCAGGTCTGCGTCCCACCCTCCCTAACCTGGGATAATGTTTTGCGCACTTTCAGTCTTAATACGCGCATGCGCACGCTCCGTCAATTTTGAATGGATGGCAGGGCAGCTGAAAACGCTTTCGCAAGACAAATTCGCCCTTCGGGCGCAATTAAAATACTCAGTCAAAACTGGACATGATTACTTAAAAACAACAAAGATTTTTTTATTTCCCGATTTTGGATAATTGAAAGTCGGATGCTCTTCTACTGGGCCCTAAAAGGCCCACAGAGCATCCTGCAAGACCGTCAATCTAAAATTTTCAAAAAAAAAATAGAATTTTTTTTTCGCTTTTTTTTGTAATTGTTTCATCAATTTTATTATCTTCTACAACAATTTTTGAACAATTGAGGCAGCTTACAATGCATGTTTTTAGTTCACACTTTCCATCTGGCTATATATGACCTAAACTACTGTAGCTCATGTACGACAGATCTGAATTTAAAAAAATTTTACTACAATTTTCGATTAAACGACCAAATAGGAAAATTATAATAGCAAAAAACTCCAGAAAAAAGAAGTTTTCAGCGTTTTTGCCTTACTAACTTCCAAATTGCACAACGGGAAACTCGTTTTTGGAATCAGAAACCATTTTTTACCAATTTTGAAAATTTTTGTTTTGAAAATAAATGTTGAGTCAGAAACGTGAAAAATTATTTTTTTTCAAAAAGTCAAGTCTTTCACGTTCAAAGCCGCAAAATTTACCCATTTTCAAAAAAGTCGAAAAAACACATTTTTAGTTAACTCATAAAAGTGGAAAAAAGGGTCTTCAAAATAAAACCATCAAAAAGTGGCATTAACAAACTGCCATTATTTCCACGATATAGGGGGTCGCATGCAAAAAATTAGGGAATTGTAGCGGAGAGTTTTTGAGCACCCGTCTTAATTTTTTTAAAAAAGTAACCGCTAAACTGGCCAAATGTCTAATGTTCCGAGGGGGCCCCTACCCCTCTCAATGAGTTTATATAGCGTCGTGGGCACGCGCCCATCCAGCGCTAAGTTGTGATCGATGCCGCGGAATTTTAAAACAAACAACTGTATTTCTTCGAGAAATGCCAATTTGGGATAATTAATGCGCTATTTTTGACAGGCTGCAGTTTAATATCGCTCATCGCAAACAGATGATTCTAACTATTAGATCTGTTAATTCATTATTAAGTCAGAGAGACGATTTTGAACATTTTTTGGGTCTTTTTACTTATTCCGCCTTAAAATCAGTATTTCAACATCTTGAACTGAAACGATTTTGCTTCAATCTGATTGGCTAGAATTAGCCTATCAAATTTTAGTACCATCTTTAAAATTCGAATTTTAAATAAGCCGAATTGGCCTAAAATTAAGAATATTTGGTACACTACTCAATGTTATTTTAAATACACTCCCGAGTTTTAACCAAATTAAAAAAACAGCTCCAAGGAAAAAAATGATTACCATCGTACCAGCTCAAAGCTTGGCCTCGTTAGAAGTCGGCTTAAAAATAAAGTGATCGCATTTATATAACTAAATCAACCAGTGCTATCAGTTTGTTGTTCTCAGCATTTATACATTGAGAATTACAAAATCGCAAAATTAAGAAATTTGGGCGGAATAAAAGCTTCATTTGTAAGACGGTTAAAGCTTCAGTTTTGTTTGTGTTGCGAATTCAACTTGGCCTCCGTGTAAGCTCTTTGGAACTCTTTTCTCTCAGTTTAACAAGAAAAAAGCTCCAAAAAACAGCTCAAATGAAAAAAACGCTCAGATGGCTAAGTTTTTTTTGCCAGAGAATTCAAAGACCTATTTTTCTAAATTTTGAACTCTTTTGGACTTTTTGTGCGAAATCATTAAACCCTGCGAAAATGTTGCTGAGTCGTCTGAGGTTGCTGTTGTGTGGCAGATTAGTTTTTGAATCTTGAAATTTTTGTGGTTTCAGACTAAATGAGTGAACAAAATGATGCTACGAAGACGAAGAAAACTGCCCGCATGTTCGATGTTAACGAAATGTTTTCCATTGCCAGACAAACTGCTGTGGAAATCTGCGGTGATGCAAACACAAAGTTAGAGCTGATCGCTAAAACAGAGCCATCAGATACTCAAAATAGAGAGTCAGATTCTCATGAAAAGGAAAGTCGCGATTCGGATTCCGAAAGCAGTTCGGATGAATCTGACAGTGATGATGACGTAATAGGCCCAGTGCCCGACTTATTAACAATAAACAATTATTCCAATAAAACTCAAAGCTTAGCTCAGAATTCGTTAACTGCTCCTGAAAACCGTCAGAAAACCGGATACGGAAACTCAAATGATATCAATCATTCAGATGATGAGAATCAGGATGATGAGGATGATGATGATGAGCCTGAAGCTGAACCTAGTTTGAAAAGTCGCTTACCAATTGCAAATCGTGTCTCATTAAACCACGGAACCAAAACAGTATCAGCTTTAGCTTTGGACCCCGCTGGCGCAAGACTCGTAACTGGAGGTTTCGATTATGAAATTAAAATGTACGATTTCAATGGCATGGACAGCAATAAGAGAGCGTTTAGGTCATTGACCCCTTTTGAATGCCATCAAATTCGTTCATGCGCGTTTTCATGTAGTGGTGATCAAATTCTAATCTGTTCAGGCAGTGCACAGGCTAAAATTTTTGACAGAGACGGTCACGAGATGTTTGAATGTTGCAAAGGAGATCAATATTTAGCGGACATGGCGAGGACAAAAGGTCACACAAGCATGTTGAATTGTGGGGTTTGGAACCCGAAAGTGAAAAATGAGTTTCTTTCTTGTTCTTATGATGGAACTTTGAGAACGTGGATCTCGGATAAAAATGCAGGTCGACACGAGCACAAAGGTATGTTGTTAAGCTAATGATATAACGCTGAATCGATGCGGCCTGTTAATAAGACCTGGGGTTCTGATGCTAATAAGTCGTGCTAAAAAGATACATAATTATTATTACTGCGGAAATCGACCTGGACTTGGATGCTGCGTCAAGTTTTTGTGTATGAGGTTTCACTATATTTTCTTCTTTATTCGGGTTTCTAATAATCTAGTACAAATCTCTAATTGCAGATTGATATCTCTTCTTTTCTTTTTGTTTAATGAAAGAAAGTTCGAGTCCTCTTCGTTTGTTTTTAGCTCTCATGAAGTGCCGCAGTTCAAATGGGCTGAGAACTAACCCTGGATCCTGTTGCTACCACAGAGACGGAAAACTAGTGGTTGCCGGATGTAGCGACGGATCCATCCAGATTTGGGACACCTCGAGAGTAACTCTCGTAAACACCGCTTTCAAAAACATGAAAGCGCACACGAGTGGATTTGAAATGAGTTCGGTCAAGTTTTCAGGCGACGGAACAGTGCTCGCTAGTCGAAGTATGGACGGGTCCATGAAATTGTGGGACATCAGAAAGTTTTCACAGACACTTCACGCTTTCGATAACTTACCAAACTATTACGCAATGACAGGAATCATTTTTTCACCTGACGATAAAATTGTGGCGACGGGAACTTCAGTAAAAAATGAACATGGGAAAGGAAAAATCAGTTTTTTCTCAAAATCTACTTTTGAAAGTGTAGAGGAAGTTTCTTGTGGAAATAACAGTGTTGTAAGTTTACTTTGGCACCCAAAATTGAACCAAGTTTTTGCTGGAACGTCAAATGGCGAATGTCGCGTGTATTTTGACGCCGAATCCTCAAGAAATGGTGCTCTGCTTTTTGCTGGAAAAATACGCAAAATCAAACAAGTAACTGGAATGATTTCACAAGAGGCAATTACACCGTATGCCTTGCCTATGTACAAAGAAGGGCGGAAGAAAATGCCACATGTGCAAGCGGTGATTAATAGAAAAAACGACAAATCAAGGCCGGATCCCCCGCTAGAAACTTCAAAAGGAGGAAGAACAGCTAATGCTGGATTGTCTTTGGGTAAATTTGTTTCCAAGAAAATTGCACTGCAGATGCAAGTACCTGATGATAGTGATCCAAGAGGAGCGATATTAAGACACGCAAAAGAAGCAGAGACGAATCCTTTGTTGATTTCGACTGCTTACAAAGACAGTCAGCCAGATCCTCTTTTTGATTTGTCAGTCGAAGGGGAAGATGACGATGATGAAGATTCGGCATACAGAACTCCAGGCAGTGGGGTTCCGAAAAAACCAAAACTGGATCCATATAACCCAGTTTGATTGAAGAGAGTTAGCATTTGAAGTAAAAAGAGATGAAGCTTTGTCGTGTTTCGAGAGAAGAAACTTCAAGCCCTGAATGGTGGAAATCAATTTCGGTGGCCGTGTTAAAAAGTTTGCCCTAGCACTAAATAAATGAAACTTCAAACTTGTTAATGAAAAGTGAACACTTGTTCTATATGTAGTTTTGAATTCAAATTAAAAAGTGCATCATAGTTGTTTCAAGTGTTACACTGGTTTACTATGCTCTTAAGAAATGAAACAGCTACCATATTACAAAAAAAACTTAGTTTTTAGGGTATGAATTAGGGTACTTTTTCAGGCGAAATCAGGTAGCACAACTCTTTCGGTCATGCTCCGAGCTACAATAAAAGTAGCTCTTTGACTTCATAAGTAAAAGTTGATCTACGATTCGTTTCATTTTGATTATTAAGCTGTCGGACCTGTTTTGCAAATTACCTGTGTGAAACTTTCAGATTTGACCTGTACTCAAAATGATTGGATCGAACATCAGACGGGGTCTGCTACAGGCCAGCTCTAAACAATCCACACCCTTCACTCCCTCCCGTTTCATGTCTACTTCGGAGCGACGAGGCGCCGACCCCCTAATGGGTGTAGCCTATCTGGCTGCGGCTGCCGGGGTGAGCTCTACTTTCTGGGTGTTCGGAAACTATGTTCCGAATGTGATCAGCAAGCTGCACAAAACTAACAGGATGGGAATGGCCTCAAAAATTGGAGATAAAAGTGTGTGGCAGCCTCAGTAGTGAGCAGACGATGATAGGAGATAAACTGAAAGACTTTGCTATAGTAGATTGGTTGTATTAACAGACTTGAATGTAATCTGACGACGAGAGTGACATGGTAGACTTTGAATTGAACATTTTATAGAAAAGTTTTATGAAGTCGATAAATTTGGAATCAGATTGACTAAAACTGTTATGAGACCTGCGAAGCACCAAATAATTTGGCGAAAAATTAGAGATTTTAATTAAGGGTTTGTTCGTTACGAGGTGCACTATATTCTTTTTGCATGAGTTCTAGCATACTTTTCCAAGCATTTGCAGACTATGTTGGAACTGGGAAGGAACTTTGTATTCGGGTGTGTTCTAGTATCATTTTTCACGCAAAATCAGGTGACGCAAATGAAAATCGGACTGAGTAGTATTATTAATCTTATTAACGCCCTCATGGTCGCAATTCGAACGACATAAAAACATTTCAATAAAACTTTCTCAGTGTCGAAACACGCATAAATATTTTCGATTTTTCGTCTAATTTCGAGCGAGTAAAGCCAGCGAGCAGGCTTATTAAAGAAGGCAAGTCGCAAACAAGCTATGAAGTTTTTATGCAAACCAATGAAAATTCTAGTTCAATTAGTTTTCAAAGAGCCAAAAACTCAAAAAAAACTGCAAAAAAATGGTCTCCAATATATCTATTTTATTCTGCTATGGGAAATGCTTCCAATCATCATTCAGACCCTTTCAGCACACCGCGCACAAATAAATTGAATTTAAATTTTAAACAAAAAAACTTCATTTGTAGTTTGATAAGACTATGGTCGGAATTTTCTGTGCTACTTCCACAGCAAACGGCTATCCTTGTTTTTTTTTGTTTTTCCTTTTTTTTTTGTGGGTGTAAGATGTCACACAAGATTTACATTTTTCTTTAAATCTAGAAAGAAGAATTTAAACTGTTCGGTTCTGGCCTGCAGTGTCTAGCGATACTTCTTGCACAACAACGTTTTTAGCTCAAATTAAGCCTGCCCTCTTAGTTGTTATCGGCATCTTAGCAAGTCTTGACTTCGAGAGCAGTAGTGATTACACATGCATAGCTTCTGTTATAGTATGATTTTTCTTTTTTTTTCCAACCTAAGTCGCAAATATTTTTGTGATGCAATTGTTGCGACAAAATGTTCATTTTGAAAGTGTTCACTTTGATCCAGCTATTGAGTACAGCCAATGCTGGAGACATTAACACGAAGCTGAAGTGCTATTTGTAATATGATAGTCTGTGTTAATATCCATACAAACAGCACTTCAGCTTCAAGGTATCATGGTTCTGTAGCGTAGAGGTAGGGAAGGAGACCAGCAGCAAAAAAAAAGAGGGTTCGAGCCTGGGTAGGGTCGGATTTTTAATGAAATTTTTCGTTTACTCGTTAAAATGCCTCCGCTTTATAAATTTAGGCATGTTAGTTGGTAAATTTTTTTTCAAATTGACTGGTACTGCTAATGCGTCATAATTGGCTCAGTTTTTTTCCAGTAGCGTTGTCGGTCATATTTTTGATTATGTAAGCGAAGTGCAACTTCGCCTCTGTGTAAAAATACGGCATTTAAAAGAAAAGTTTGCATTCCGAAAAGTTTCCGTTGTTGTTAAGACAAACATAAGTAAATTTAGGGCTTGCAAGTTGTATAAAATAACGCATTTGCTGTAATATTTCTAAAACGAAGATGTCGGGAAAGGCAGCAACGCCGAAAATGAACAGCTATGATCTCATTGCTGAACAAGTACCCTGCTTAAAAGCTAATTGCTATGAATAAGAGTTCATTTCATCAAAATTACATTCCTTCATTTTCTAAAGTACACATTTTTCCGGTATCTACTGTTGTTATTATCAAGTTACTTGCAAAAATTGATAACTTCTTCGTTTTTGGGTTCTAACCGGCAATAATTTTCAGACGGAACCCGAAAATGTGTTAAAGTTTTGCTTTTTGTTGGATTCGACTCTAGTTTGCAAACTTCGGGTTTTTTCCGTCAAGCTTAAAAACATAGATGCGTTTAATAGCTTTTTCCGAATTGGTTTGTTTTCAGTTTATCATGGCTAACAATATAAATGGGTCAGTTTGAAATCAGGTTTTCAAAACTAGAAGTTACTGGAAGCAAACTTTTTGGACTGTTAAAGAAAAACTTTTTAAGTGTGAGTCAAATGTGGTATCAAATAAAAACTGTTTCAGCCAAAATTTGGATTCTGACAAACTTTGATACAAGTTGTTTCTCAGAGTAAACAAAACTGATCTAATAATTTTTTTAGGTTTCAGACTAAGTAAGACTAAAGCTGACAGGAATTTAATAAGAGGCTGAAATCCAAACTCAACTCTTCAACATCTAAAACAAAAATTTAAATTTTTTGAAACATTTCTTTTTGACCGATATCGAATTTTTTTTTATATAGCAGAAAATTTTGATTTTTTATATTGTGATTTTTTTCTACAATCCTTGAGGTCCGTTGGAACTTTCAATGCTACTTACACAGCAATTAGTTAATTTTGTTCGATTCACCATGAAACATAGTTTTTTGACAGTGTTTGATTTATTTGACACATTTTGCTCCGGACGAGGTTATTTGCTTTCATCAATTGCGAAATGTAAACTTTTTTGGGCATTTTTTTCGTGGCATAATTTTTTAAACAAAAACAATGAACAACCCAAAAGCCCCAAACAAAATAGTAAGATAGTTTTGATACATAGGTGAAGCAGAGCCGTACATTACCTACGATTCAACGCAGGGCCAGCATTGAAAGCTAGTGAACAGAAAAAGACAAAATAATTATAAATTATCGAAAAATTGAAAATTTCAATTAAAGAAAAATCATCGCGAAACACAATCAGCAGAATTGAACTAATTTAAGTGTTTATCAAGCGGCCACTACATTTTGAAAGCAGGCGCCTATTGATTCGAAAACAAAAAAATGTCATAGGAAACTTTCTTACAAAAATTTTTAAAGCTGGAAAAAGTACACCACAACCATCATGAACTATTTTAAAAAACATTAATCATTTTTTAATCTTATGATGAAAATGAACAAACTGAACCAAATAAACGTCAGGCAAAATTTTTTAGGGAAAAAAACCGACAAAAAACGAAAGTCACTGGTTTCTTTCTTCCCAAACAAATTTCAATTTTAAACATACTGAAAAAAATCAAGTTGCGACTGGGACTCAAAATCTAAACCCTAGGTGCAAACGCCAATTGGCGCAAACGCCATTCTCAGACCAATTGAGAAGGAGCATACAAACTGTTTATGTTAAAAAAAACAAGAGCAAGTTCGCCTTTTGATCCTAAGAAACCGTTGATTTACAAGCTCTTGAATAAAAAAGACCTCAGACGTTTCATAAGTTTGTCTCAGTTGATGATCAAAAAATTTTTTTTGAAAAGCATTGGTACTCACTACCCAAAAATCTTCTGTCATTTTCTGTTAAGCCAAAAACAAAACTGTTGTCAAAAAAAATCAAGCTCTAAATTTTTGAAACTAAATGTTTATGAGACTTGCACCTCGTCAAACACATGTAGACATAAGAACTTATTTCCCCCGCAAAACTACGCATTTTGAAGTTACCTAAGCTAACCTCTAACCTACCTAACTAATAAAAACAAAAACGTTTTATTTGAAAAATATTGCATATTCCGGATCAGCTTTCAACTGTATTAGAAACCATTTAAATCAGCATAAAAGCTTATATCTCGGAATTTAGGTCAATAAAAAAAGAGCCACATAATATGAAGTTATTTGAAATTTGAACGAAATTTGAGCCAAGGAAATTTGGGGCGGAAACCATAAACCAAGAAAAAATAATTAATTACTATCTGAAATGGACTCGACCTCCACTGTAAAGTCCATTTCAGATAGTAATTAATTTTTTTTGAGCCGATGAAAATTGGGGCGGAAACCACGAACCAAAAAAAAGCAATGAATTACTATCTGAAATGGACTCGACCTCCACTTTAAAGTCCATTTCAGATAGTAATTCATTGTTTTTTTTGGTTCGTGGTTTCCGCCCCAATTTTCATCGGCTCAAATTCCGTTCAAATTTCAAATCACTTCATATTATGTGGCTCTTTTTTTATTGACCTAAATTCCGAGACATAATCTTTCTTTTACGTCTACAAAAAACTTGCCGTTTTATTTATTTTTCACAAAATAGAGCATGTCAGCCAGCTGCACGTGTACTTAACTGCAGGTTTTTCTCACATACTTTTATATTTGTTAAAGGGAAAAACATCTGTTTCCGATTACAAAACAATTGCTCTTGCAAGTGTAACGCGCGAACTATAGTTGAGGTGGTTGTTGCACAGCTGTGGCAACCAAAGTGTGCGAAATAAGGAGAAAATCACCATGTTTTTTTCAGTGTTTTTTCAAATATTTGCAAGATGATCAGAATATTTCTTCCAAAATCAAATATAAATCACATAAATCAACGAACAATCGACACACTCAATTTTTATAAAAAAATTTTTTAAAGCCATAATTTTCTTGAGTTTAACAAGAAGTCAGCCTCCAAGCAAAAAACGAAGCAAAAAACATGCTGATCCAACTTTTTAAAAAATATATTTAGGTGTTGGAAGATTTTGGGCATGTTTTCTTGTCATTTTCTGCTTTTCTGTTTGAACAAAACCTAGTTTCTTCTTTTTCATTTTGATTGAGGCACCTGCATTCCTTGATTTTTTTTTCAATTTTCTCGTTTTTGAGCCTCGGCCTCGTAAACTGTTTTCTCAGGAAGTACCTGCAGTTAAAGAGCACTTTATTCCCCTTAAAATAAGCAATTACGTGAGAAAGTAATTATCGTACTTGCGTAAAGCCACGCAATATGATTAAATCGAGGGTAGAGTCAACGCGGCATGCTCGTGGCAACCAGCCGGCAATTTAGAACTCATTTATGATTCCCACGAAGTACTCGTATTCCTTCCGTGTGCAAATTAAATGGTCACCTTAAGTGTTTGCAAAAAGAATTTCGTCAAAAACTCTCGAAATGCATATGGACCTATATTGCAGTTCGCAAAAATTGGCTGCTTTCAAGTCTTTGCCAGACGTTATCACAAAACTTTGAAATAGTCGCATAAAATTTTTCATATTACAAGCGCTATATTTGAACGGGACGTTTTTTTGTGGACGCGAGAAAGTCACCGCTTTCAGGTCTTCGCAAGAAAATAACAAAAACACTACCCTACTATAAATATTAGACCACGGCTTGACAGTTCTTTCACGAAAAAAAAACCATGACAGAAACTAATTACTCCGCCGCCGAACTCAAGATGACGGCGTAAGAATATTTGATGATAACAATGATTCATTGCATTTGCATCAGACAGAAAAATTTCAAATTTCTTGTTTCAACGATTTCAAATTTCTTGTTTCAACGATTTCAAAAATCAGTTCTATGAAATCAAGTGTCATTGTAACGGAAGGATTCACTTTCGAATTTCATTCAACGAAGTTTGTCGTCAAAAAAGTGTTTCTACTGACAAGGTCACCTATCAAAACTTCCTTAAATTCCGAACAAAGACGGATTATTTAGGTCACCGTTCGATCTTCTCTTAAACTAAGAAACCAGGCTAAACGGCTACCTTTGGCTAGTAATTTGAGTTCCTTAGAAAACGTTAGAAAAATCAATAATTAGTTTGAATTTTCTATAGTTCAATATTTTATTTATATAAGTTATATAGCACCATACATAAACTGCATCAAAATAAACCAACTTCTAAACTGATTATTTTTCTGTTGCACTACTTTAATGTCTATGTTTTTGATATAAATTAAAGTTTTTGTGCACGACGAGGTATGAATATGAAAGTCAAAATGGCGGTTGAAAACTGGACTGCTGAAGGGGGGAGGGGGTGGGGGTGTTTTCAGTTGCAGCAATGAAAGCGCGTTTTCTTATTTAACCTTCTCATGGGAGTGTTTGTGTTCTGGACGTGAGTACTCCTTGCGATAAGTTACATATCTGCATGCTGTTTTCTCGCGACTTGAGAATATTTTGAACTCGCAGGTCGTTCAGTTCGGGTGAGTTTTCGGGTATGAAGGCCCATACTTCGAGTGATGAGATTTCGAATGAGGGGGAGTGATCTTGTGTCAGAGGGGGGCTGTTGAAAGTCTCGCAGTCGTAAGTCTGCCCGGAGAGGAGTTCTCCATCCAGCATCAGGGCCGGTTTGGCTTGGCTGAAAAATTTAGTTTTCTTTTTTACATCTTGGTGTATCGAAATCATATTCTAAACTTGACAATCAGATTTTGATTTAGATTATTTTGCGCATACCGTTACAATTAATTTTCGAAATTTAAAAACAAGTTTTGATTGATTCTGATTTACCCATAGACAAATCTAGACAATTTTGTTTCGAATCATGTTAAGTTGTGGTCTCAGAGGCGGATTTATTGGGGCCCCATTTTTGGATGGTTGACCCTAAAATTTTTCGAAAGGCCAGTCTATCTTGTTTAGGAGGGGTGAGCGCGCGCCGAAAAAACACGATTGTTCGGTCAGAAGCGTTCAGAAAGTGGTTAAAAATGCCTTTTTATCTTGTTTTTTAAACATTCGGCTGTGGCGAAAAAAATGGCCATAACAGGGTCTTTTAAAGGTTTGGTAGAGCTCGGAAAATCATTTGGGTTGACCTAAAAAAAGTCGACAAAATTTTTGATTTTTTTCTTCAAATCCGCCCCCTCGAGAAAATTCTAGATCAGCACCTGTTTGGTCTTAAACTATTAATAACATGCATTACAAGAAAGATTTCACAAAAATTACATTACAAATCAAACAATCCAGAAGTACTTTGAAGTAACAAAAAGTATTTTTATGGCTTAAATAATTTTTTCCTTTATTAAATAAAAAATGAATAGCGAATCCTGAATAACTTACAAATTGTCTCCTCCGACCGTGATGTGGTCATGATCACAGGAACAAAACAAGTTGTTAGTGCCAGACCACTGATACGTCTGCAGAGTCACCTTGGACACCGACGGAAACTCCGGATCCACACTTCCCAAACCAAGGCCTCCGAGGCCTGTCGGTACGCCTCCCGCGACACGGGCGCTGTTCCGCCTACTGTTGACTACACTGTCGCCGGTGCTGAGTCGTGTTCCAAATTTGAGGAGGAATGTCTGTCCGCTGCCATAGAATTTACCCTTGCTGATACGTGGAGGGTTTGAGAGGACGGCTCCAAAGAACTAAATTTGAGAGCTCTGATGACTCAGCCGTTAAGTTTCTGACAAAAAGATAATAAAGGCCCAAAAAATTGTTCATGGTGGAAATTGTTGTCTAAATAGAAACTAGAAAGATAGCAAACAGTGACACTAATGCCTTGTCTTTTTTTGAAGGCCAATTACAGTTTTTTGCAGTGCTGCTGAAAAAATTTTGCACTACTTAAATTTTAGCAGCAGTTAAAAATGTATATTGGTTTTTAATCAGCCTTAAGCTATCAAAAACTAAATAGGGAAACGTTTTTTTTCCGCAAACTCCAGCTATTTATTTACAATGAAAAGTGCTATTTGTTTCGAACAAAAGTGCATATAAGCTATTATTTTCCATACAAACAACTGATGTTGTCTAGTTTAAGATAAGCTTGCTACATATTTTTCATTGTATTTTTATCTTTACTGAATCTTACGTTTTTCGGATAGACGTAAAAGGGCGACAAGTTCGATTGCGATAACTTCTTCTGGAAATCTTCCGGCTCCGATATGGGGACAGATGCGGACGATGAAGAACTCAAGTATCTCTGAGAATAGGATGATGACTCATCTTTGTCCTTGTTTTTATTGTTTTGTTGGGGGTTGATGAGGAGTAAGCAGCAGGTGTCTGAGTCGAGGGGTTCACACTTGCGGAAGAGAGTGTTGATTGAGAGTCCGTCCAGCTGGCTGTTGTACATGCAGGCCCACACTGAACCCAAGCAGCGGGAGGGTAGTCGAGGAACCAGCTGAAAAACATTCTTTTGGGTCTTGAGGGTGAAGCAACATTACCCAGCCCAGAAAAATAACCAAAAAAAGTTGCATGCAGTTCTTAAACAGGGGCACAACAGTTGTTCGCCGTGATGAGCTGTACAGCTCTTGTGTTGGTCCTTTCCACCGTGGATAAATGGTCTTAATCTTAATCTTTTAAACTATCACATCTCGTGACAGAGACTGATTTTTTAGTTGCTTTCAATAACTTGACCAAATCGAGCCTGTTTGCTGTTCTGACCGCGACTTAGAAAGCAAGTGTTTTTCGGTCAAAACTTGGTTAAACAAAAAAACTCGTAGACAGCCAATTGTGATATCATATTTCTTCAGATTCTGTTTCCATTAAAAAAACCTCATAAGTAAGCTTGTCTCAAGAGTTGAAAAAAAATTGGTCTAAACTTTCTTTTTTTTCAGACTCATTTACTTTATTTCATCAGGAGCCGATCTAGGATTTTCTCGAGTTGGGGAAGGGTTGGGATTTTCAAAAATTTTGCCGACTTTTTTTCAAGTTTTTGAGGTGAACCGAATTGATTTCCGAGCAGCCCCAGAACACTAAGAAGACCCTGTCTTGACAAATTTTTCTGCGCCGTAGGATAATTTTTCAAGCAGGTCAAAACTACCGTTTTTGGTCAATTATTAGACAATTTTGACCAAAAATTGCGTTTTTTCGGCGCCCGCTCCACTTCAAAATTAATATCTCGGCGCCACTTTAAATGACACTTTAAAAATTTGAAAAATATTTCATTTCCAGCGTCGAGATGAACTGGTTTGAAGCTAACAAAAGTTTATCTTTCTTATGATTTTTCGCCAATGGAGATCGTAATTTGTTTTTTTTTTGCAAATATAATTGAGCAACCTTCAAGAATTTTCCCTGAAAAAAAAAGAAAACAAAAAACATCTCACCCTAAATAAGTCCCTTCACTTCGTTCATAGACACTTATCAGCTGATTTTTTTGACCACCAAACAGACTAGAGAACTTGTCAAAGTTATAGTTTTCAATAATAAATACAAAGTGAATTATGAAAAAACCTAATGACAGAATTGTGATATTTCGTTCGTTGTTTTAATGCCCTGAGTTCAAAACTCAAAGGTAAACTACCTGCTAGTTTGTTCAGCAGGTTTTGACAGTTTATAGGGTTTGCATTTTGAATTTTAGCTCGCTATATTTGGCTGATACAATTTGCTACTTAAGGCGATCATGTCACCTAAAATTTGGAATGAGACATGGTTTTCAAAGTATTTATTTATTTTATTACAAATTTCCAACTAACAAATTCTTTTTAATTATTTAGTTTTTACAAAAACACTCCCATATAAAAATCATTTTAGAAAAATTATGAAAAAAACTTCTGATCAATAAAGCTTTTACTCTGATTTGAGCAGTCTTTTTCTGAAAGCAAACTTTTTAATGTCTTATCTGAAATGACTTTTCTATGATATTTTTTGAAATAAATCCGCGATGTAACACTACGTGTGAAAAAGGCACCAATACTTCTTTCTCTCTCACTAGGACAACAGAGAGAGTTACAAGCAACAAAGAAAAAAAAATCGCCAACTGACAGTTAGACAAGAGTAATGAAACTGAAAAAAAACTCTTAGTTTTTCGAAAAACTTACCTTTAAATTTCGAAGAAAAAAATACATGGCCTTAAAACTGTTTGAATTTTTAGAAGAATTAATGATGGACAGTTTTTTGTTAAAATTAACCCAAATTCGAGAAAATTGGATCAATAAATAAAACTTGTATTGCGCTGGGAAATCTGGTAAGTAATTTTCATTTTCGAAATTAGAATTCGATCACGTTAATAAAAAAAATCACCAAGACCTATATAAATGTACTCACTACCTACGTTCATTATTCTCAAAAAATTTTTTTTATCGAATTCGAGCAAGAGAAATCAACAAATAATTTGAACTTAGTTTGCAAAATTGGATTTCAATAAGACAATTTTTTTTTCAAAACTGGAATTTAAACTAGCTGGTTGTTGACCATGTAGCAGAAAAAGGTTCGAAAAAAGCTCATTTTTGTAACTTAATGTTTAAAAAAAATGAAAATCTTAATAATTAAAAAACATTTTTTCACCAAACTTTTCAATTTGGTTTCCAAATTTTTGGTTATTATTTTTTGAGCTAGAGGGGGTACTAAACTAAATTGGTCAAACAAAAAATGCAGAACAGTTAGCTTGGAAATACAACTGTTAGATTGGAGACCGAAATTTGCAACCTGAAAATGAGTCTCTGAAAAATGGAAAAAATCAGACAAGTTTTTCTCGACTCATATACAACGTTTTCGATTTTTTCACGGAGTCCTAAGCAAAGATGAACAAAGAGGACAAAAATCATATCCTACGCCACATTTTTTCCATTCCCTTCTTGAAGTGCTCGTAACAATGAATTTTTAGACTCTTTTAATAATCTAGAGTTTATAATCTTTTATGTATAATTTTGAACCAAATAAGTGTTTCTAAACAGCTGGACCTGAACTTGGTTTTAATCTCAATTTATTCAATTCACATGGAACTCTTAAATCTTCAATGATTCCTTGACTATACCTTTTTGACGTGGGTGGGTGTGAGGATGTGCGAGAATCCGAACATCTGGGGGGAGGGCAGAGTCCTCTCCAGTTGACGAAGTTGTCTCCTCTCAAACTCCTCCGAGTGCACAAACTAAAAAAACAAGAAGCTTATCATAGTCAAGTTCAATTAATGATTTTACTTGAATCTAGGAAATGCATTTATTTAGAACGCATTTTTCTTTCAATCCCTTGTTTTGAAGCCAATTCAAGAAAATTTTTCGAATTGATTTCCTCGCAGTACTAAAATAAAATTCCGAAAAGTTACCATTGAAAAAAAGTACAGGCATGTGAAAATAGAGAAAAATGATAAATTTGCGGAATTAGCGTCAATTGGCTGTAATAATTACAATTGAAAAAAGGACTAAAAACTTACTTCCCACTCTTTGACATAAGACTGCTCCACTGAACAGGCGATCAATTCGCTCTCCGCCCTCCTACCCCCTCTTCCGCCCCCTCCCCCTCCCCCTGCCCCGCCAGTAGCCGCCGCCCTCGTTCTCCCCTTCGACTTCATCACTGTGCCTGTCTTCTCACACAACACTTCACTCCCACTTCTTAATTTGATCTCACTCCCCACCATTATTCGACCCCCTCCCCCACCCCCACCCCCCTCGGGACAAATAGTCCCCTCCTCCCTTGTCCCATCCTCCTCTTCTTGCCCTCCTGCAGCTCCATTAAAGGGGGACAAGTCTAAGGTGGGTCGGGTATCCAGAAGTACAAATGTGTTCAGCTCTTCCTGTTCGTCCACTGAAACGGCGTTGTTGCCCCCACCCGCCCCCTGATCATCTGCTCCTTCTCCCCCTCCCCTTCCCTGTTGGCTGCTCTTGGATGGCATCAGACCTTCCTCTGGAATCCATTCCACTAAGAATGCATATACTCGGTCTGCCCTGAAACACATTTTTTGCCCAAATTTTTCCACATTTCAGCGTTTTTTCTTATTTAGTTTTATACCAGGGGCGGATTTTTTTAAATTCGACCAAATTGATTTTCCGAGCTCTCCTAGAGCACTAAAAAGACGCTGTTTTGGCCAAATTTTCTGCGCCGCAAGCAAATTTTTGAAAAAACGGGTAAAAAAATCCGTTTTTGGGCAGTTTTTGGAAAATGTTGACAAAAAAACGCGTTTTTTTTGGCGCGCGCTCCCCTCAAAGTTAGTATTTATTGGCGCCGTAGGCGCATTTAGAAAAATTTAAGGGTCGGTCGAACTTCTTAAATGGATTTGTTAAAAAGTACCAAAGGGGGACCCTTTGGGTCGGCAGGGGGTCGAATACCTAAAGGAAGAGGGAAACGTCCCCCCTCTAAATCCGCCCCAGTTTTATACCATAAACATACTAGCTGTTTTGATGTCATTTAGCCCATAGAGAAAATATTTAGTTTAAATATGTTTTTTTTTTCATTGCAGCGAGCCTCTGCCTAATAAATAGAAAACTACGCCTCAATTTGGTACCAACAAAACAATCTAACTCTCAGCAAAGTTCTCTGCCTTATGAATCAAGATGATCCGACGAAAGTGAAATTGACTCACATAAATGAGTAAGGAATCGCGTGGGTATTGTCAATTTAAATTATGGTATGTTCATTTAATGCGTTAGTTAAATAAATAAATGGGAATTCTCAATAATTCAATGAACCGGAAACCATAATTTGCACAGTAAAGAGTGACCTCTATAAAACAGCAGAAACATTAATTTTTAAGTATATTTTAATGACCATTTTACAAGGTTTTACTAATGACATTGATTCAAAATTTTAGAGAAAAAATTTAGGCAGTAAACGCCATTGACATAAAAATTTTAAATCATTTTATTAGCTAGTGTCGCACATAAATATTTTTTAGTTATAAAACTAACACTAAAGTTACCAGGGAAGAAAGACAATTCTTTCCCAGGATATTAAACTACAAGTGAGTGTTTAATCCATTGAATTGATCTGTTGGCTCCTGTAGCTTTTATGTTATCTCCACTTTAATTCAAGCTGACGGTTTACAAAGTTTTTGACATAAAAAATTCCATTTGTGACTGGAATGAAAATTATACAAAATATGTTTGAAGTGTTTGTTTCACCTCAGAATACGGACTATGAACTCAAAGTTAAAGTAGTTTTTGCTACTTTTCAAATCACGTTTCCTTTTCATCTGTAGTTTTATTGATACTACATTTCAACTATTTTACGAGGGTTGAGGAACTCATTTTTGTTTTGTCCGGAGCTCAATTGCAATCCATAGTGGAGACAAAATTTTGCAGAATTGAGATGTAAGGAACGCAAAAACAATATACTTGAACTTCATTAATTTTTCAACGCTGACTTTTTTCTTAATGAAGCTCAATCAATTTGATTAAGCCAAACTTAGTCAGAATATAATAGACCTAAGAAAATTTTTAGATGTCATTACTAGGCCGAACTATTCTTTGGATAATCACATCGTTTGGTGCGTGTAGACACCTCTGGCATCTAAAGACACGCAGCTAAACATGCTGAAAAGTTTAAGTAAAATTTAATTACCAAAATGTTGCATAAATCATGAACACATATTTTGTAACGTAATACTTGTCGGCACATTAATTTTGTCGGGGAATCCGCAACGACCAAATAAAGCGAGTGGTTGCTGATTCCCTTATTGCAAGCGGATTCTCAAATTGTGATTGGATTCCGCAAACATCCTCAACTAGGGATGAACTCAATTAAGAGTTACCCAACAATTTGATTAATAACTTTTACCTTTGAGTTAAATGATTGTTTCAGCATTCGAGAAAATTTTGGTTACGTTTCTGATAAAATTTTATTCTAATTGTTAATTGCTACCAGGCATTAGACAAATACGCGGCGCGTAAAATGACCTCATTAAATTCCGCGTAAAACGGAATCAAACAGCGCGTAATCTGTGATTTTCCGCGTTAAACCAGCGCATCCTATTGGCTAATTCTGAACGGTGACCGATCGTTTAGCAGATCAACCTTTTAGCATAAAAGGTAAAAAAAATAAGTCTTTTAGCAGACCAACGTAATAAAGTGATGGACGATTAATTGACAGACTGAAAAAGGTGCTCAGTCTTGGGCCAAGCTTCCCTAATTATGTCAATTATTTCACAATTTGTCAACAAAACTATCAACTTCAAAAACACAACAGTCTAAAATTGCGGCAAAACAAAGAGTTACGCGCACAATAACACTCGTGTTGAAATGAAGCGCAGCGGATCAAACGGTCGCTAATCGCCAATGCTGCGTCTGAAGTTAGTTATCACACTTTATAATTGTTCTGAGTCTGCTAAAAAACCGGTCTGCTGAAATCCCTAGACCCATTCTGAACAATATTTTGATTTTTGCCAATTTATTTTATGTGGTACAGTTTTTTGTTAAGTTATTATAAAAATCTTGTGTTTCCGGCAATATGTCATTATCTGACTCTACCTTTCTATATCAAGCGATAAAGACAGCCCTTCCGGATCAGGAACATACACGCATCAGCCTAAAGAAGCATGTTTCAAAGTTAAGAAAGCCGCATATATCGAGTACTTCTGCTAGGGTTACGTAGCAGTATTTAGACAGCCGCCTAATCAGACACATCAAAATTTAGACAAATACTGTTTTAACCAATCAGAATCGAGACAAGGAAAAAATTATTAAATAAATTTTAATTTTTTTGGATTACTTATGTCTTATCTCGGTTCCGATTGTTTCATACAGTATTTGTCTAAATACTGACGAGTATGAATACGCGGTTGTCTAAATACAGAGCGCACTCCTTCTGCTAAAGAGCCGGCCGCAAGGACAGGCAACGAGTGTTTTTGTGCGGAAAACAACCTTTTATTTTGTCGTTAATGCAACAAGCGTGTTGATTTTTCTCGGCGGAGTCTACTGAACCGAACCGTCACAAGGTTCTGTAAAAGACCTAGAAAACTTATAAAAGAACCAAAAAGATGGAATGTCTCAGAAAACGATTGCCACAACGCTTCTAGTTCCAAACACTGCAAGATTGGAAAAAGTGGCTCTTGTTACCTTCCCGAGAAAGTCATTCAAAAACCATGTAGAATCAGGAGACCCTATTCAAACAGGGTCTGGGTTACCGCCTTACTTAAGAGACTGCGTCAAAGTTGATGAAGATAAACTAGAAAAACATCTTAAAAAACCTTCTCTCAAAATCATCTAAAATCACGTAGTACAACAAACTGCTGACGGAAGACCGACGCAGAATGGACACCCAAATGCTCGAAGAATTGCTGCTTTTTTCTGTGAATAGCAATAAAGTTTGCGGAAATTCCGTTTTTTTTTTCTGCGTAATTTAGCGCATAAAGGCAAAATTTCCGGGTAATCAGCGCGTAAAAAGAAAAAAAAACCGCATCCCGCATCGCGTAATTTGCTAAAAATCTCCAAGCATTCATCTAATAACTGATTGTTACTATTATTCTACTTCCTGATCGCAATCTATTATAAAAACTTGCTGTCTTTTTTTATCCTAATTGCTGATGATAAATAACTAAATAAATCTCGGAAAGGTCTCCTTATTCTCTTCTTACCCTCACGTAACTCGGAACAGCTCAATCCGCTTATTATTTGCAGAGTTTTTTGAAAATTTGCCAGTTGTGCGACAGGAAAAATCACTATGCATGAATTAGGCTTTTTATGGATTCCACAATTTGTGTCGAGTTTCACAAGTATTGCTGATTTGGAGCAATTTGTTACTAGGTTCCACCTTTTGAAAAATATCAACAAAAAATAACTTTGTTGCGGGTTCCACGACAAAGCGAATATCGGTCGTTTGCAAAACTCGTATTTAGATCTTTCTAAACACTGCTTTGCCTCATAATGTATGTTGATTTTTTTATTAACATTTATAAGAAAAAAAATAGCCAACTGAACCTTTGAAAAGAGTAATACAGCAGGGAAACAGAAAAAAACTGAAATCATGGACCCTAAAATTTTTTTTTAATTTTAGGACAATTTTATGCTACACTTTTTTTTGATAAAACCTAATCAATTTGACAAAACTAGATCATTAGATATTGTTTTGATTCCGGTGAAAATTTTGAAAATGAAATCAACTTTTGAAACTAGAAGGCTTCTACGTTTTTTTGCGCCATTTCCGCGTTTCTATTCGAAGATCGCATTTTACCTAGTTTTTTGCAGTTGAATTTGAATTGAACTCAAAATGTGCAAGTATACCTATGTGCTGCATTCATAAGTGCATTAAAAGGTATGAATGCACATTTGTAGTACTTAGTTTTTTATGACTTTTCCTGAAGCCAAAAAACAAAAAGAAACAAAAAAGTAACCAAGACCTATGTACAAGTCTTCAATACGTTCATTACTCTTAAACACGGAAAACTTGTTCATCCACCTAATAACTTGAAAAGACGTTAATTAAAATTAACTTCTCAAATTTTTGTCTAGAAAATTCGACATTTTCAGGAATTGAGAATTGTGAATTTTTTTCTGATGTTCCGATCAAAAAATGAGAGGAGATTTGCATTAGTGATTTTTCCACGAGACCTTATTTGCGCATTCTAACGTTACACATTGTTGAAGAAAATATATACAAAAAAGAGATGTTTCCAGTGTCGTCAAAAACATTTTCAGTGTAGAGCAGTTTTTTATTGACAGTCAATTGTTTCTCAGTTCAAGTTTCGCACAATATCGAATTATTTAGCCCTTAACATTTTTTGTGACAAAACTTTTTAACCCAGTTTTATTTAAGGTAACTTTTCTTGCAAAAACGTTGTACACTTTCTAAATCAGTAGAAAGAAGGTGGGTGATTGATGCCTACTGTTTAGTATTGGCCCCATTTAGAAGTAGGTTATCCCGGATGGTGGACACACGTTGCCTATGACGCTCACTCCTCCGGCTTCTCCTGCTGGACCAAAAGGGGGCTGTTTGATCCCCTAGCCACCTGCACATTCTTCTGCAAAGACTGCAGAGACCGCAAAGTCCGCAAAAAGCAGCTAATCTCCAAACTTGATCTGTGTCATTAATAACAGTAGAAACTGTAGATGACGCTTGTGATTTCAGAGGCCAACTTTGCTCATCATCGGCGTCAAAATGGTCCGCATATTCTTTTTTACTTCCTGATTTGGACCCCCTAAGTGCTTTTCCACGGGGGGATTTAGGAGACAACGAAGTCGAGGAGCTGCTCGACTGATTTTCAGTTCCTAATTGAACAAGCTGAAGCCTTCGGTCAAGGCTGTTGTTCAGACTATTGTTCGGGTTGTTTTGATCACTCGGGTTATTAATCAGCAACAGGTGTTCACGGTGTGCCGATTCGGTCACATATTGATAACTGCAGCACTCATTTTGCGTATCTTTCGGAACCCCGTCTGAGTCATCGCGAGGACCTTCATTGAGATCCTTAGACATGCTTGTTTGTTTGTTAGACTTTTTCAATAACTTTGCCCAAAAATACAGGAAAACAAACAAGAAATAAGAAATTTTGCAACTAAGATGGATTAATTAGCCCAAACGCTTACTGAGAAAAACTATCGCGCCAATAAGAGTCACAAATATACGGAAAATCTAGGGTATGCAAATTGCTTTTTGGAAAGTATACAAGACTTTTGAGAATTATGCTGAAACTTTAAGAAGCTGCAATAACAACAGTATAACCACAAAAGGGACTTTCACAGTGAAAGACGAAAGAATCATAGTTAAAGTTCAAGTTTTCGTCAGTTGATCAATGTAATAAGAATGGTCAAAGGCCCCATGGTGTAAAACAAACAATTTGTTTGTTGCAAGAATAAGGTGTGATTCTTCATCTTTGGGTAGCACTATAGTATGGTGCAAAATTTTGATGCAGAGTCTACAAATAAGAGAACCAATGTTCAAAAACTCAAATATTGCTGAACCTTACGGAACCGAAAGGGCAAATATCAGAGCTAGGGTTTCAATGGCCATATTTTTTATTTTAAAAACCTAGTGATTGATGCAAAATTTTATAGATTCAAAGCTTTACATTATCTTTGCTTTCGACTTTTTTACAAAACTTATCAGGTTATTTTTGCATAAACTTTTATAAACTTTATAGCTATTGACTATTACAATAATTTGGCATCTAAAGTGGTAAAGTTTCAGAACTATTTCTACAGTAAGCAAAGTGAACCACAACAAACGAAAATGGTAAAACTTCTTTTGAGCTCAGCCAAATTTGAACTTATTTCACTAAAGACTTTAAGAAAAGAACTTTTTGTTAAGTGGCGAAACATAATCGGACTATTTTGCACGCCAGAAATGTCAATCGGTGCCACAAATACACTACGATGAGCAAATACAGTGACCAGTATGAAAAAATGAGCTGCGTTTTTGCTGCTGTTTTTAGTTCGGTATGAGTAATTTACTTGGTCTTGTTTCATATTCCATTGTCATTTCTTTTGTAAATGTCACATCTGGCAAACTCATAAAAGACTCAATTCTAAAGAAGGTCAAGATCGTTTAAATCAACAGAAAAAAATTCAGGAATAAAACTTACGAAATAAGGAAGCTCGTTTTCAAAAAAAGTATGACCCTTTGAGAAAAAAGCTATTTGAGAGCTTAAGCTTTTTTCAGTTGGACGGTCAAAATTTTTCATAAATAACATTTAAGATATGAAAATAACGGTATTTCAGAAAAAAATGTGCTTTCACTTAATCAAACAACCGACCAATTGTGGTTCATAAAATCAAGAGTCTTTTGAAATAGATCAATCACACATTGAATTTCTATTTATGCAAGATATGTGCAACAACATTGGAGCTGTTTATTTAAAAAATCTGTTTAATTTACTTTATTTGAATAGTTGTTACATGAAACAGAGTTGTGAATCGACGCAATTTAGTTGCTGCAAAATGATATTTTCATCAAAGTAACTTGGCTGAAAAATTTTTTGCTCAACAAGTATTCACAATAAGAGAATCATTTCGTTTTACAAGCATGATGAGCCCAAACCGAGAAAAAAAAGATCAGTTTAAAATAACACCCTTCAAGCAGTTAAAAAGGGGAAGAGGCCGATTTGCTTCTAGTTGGAATTTTTAGTTAGCCCAAGATCGAGGTACTCTACACTCAGAGCAAACGAGTTTAATCCAAATTAAGTCCAAACTTTGAATCCAATCATTTTTAACCCAAAATAAACATTGGGATCGATGAACTTAACTTGGTCGATTTAAGGTAAGACCCAGCTCTAAATTCATTCGAAAAAACTATCACAAAAATTGTAAACTTACCAATCGAGTGGTATTTTGAACCAGTACTTCTCATCAAGCTCCACATCCACACGTTTTTCCTTGACACTGCCGTTGTTATTACTATCACTATTATTAACAGTTTTGTTGTTGTTATTGTTGTTGTTGTTGTTATTATTATTATTGTTTCTGGTCGGATTTCGTGGATGAGTGCTGATTTTGAGGAAGATCGAAATTTGAACATTGTCAGAGGGACCCCCACTTGACTCGTCATCATTGGCTGCGTCTAAAAAATTGGATCAGAATCATCACCTAGCCTCCATGGGAAACTTAACCAAGCTTTTGTGAACTCGTTTTAGATGACATTTTGATATGGGAATTTAGTAAATTTTGATGAGAATATTCCAAGTGATTCTAATTGTATAAATGACGACAAATAGAACAAAATGAAAAGAATTTGTTGAGGTTTCACATATGGTCAATAGCGTGCCGAGGATGGGGGGGTGACTCTCCCCCCTTCAATTCTTGAGCACAGTTTTTTAACCAAAGGAATCCCTTTGGGTACATTTTTACTATATATATTTTGTGACAACCAAGTCCAATTTTTTTTCAAAAGCGCTTTATAATGAGCGGTCGAAGAAAAAGTCTGGCGGTAATTGGCGCGTTAGCGATCTCGCGCGAGACGCGCATCAATCGCTACGCCAACTCGGTTAACATATCGTTTGAGAATTTAAGCATATGAATAAATTTTATCAAAAAAAGTGGTGCCTGCCAAAAAATAAAAGAATCTAAGGAGACCGTGATTTTCATAGTAGAGACTGCAGTAAAAGATCAGCTGCCAAGTTTTCCAGGAATTGAAAAATAAAAATAAATATTGACAAGAATGTCACAGTAAGCACTCAATCCCTGTTCTGCATCTTAGAAAACTTAAATTCGTAAATAGCAAAAAAGAGGAGCGCCGGCGAAAACATTTAGGAGGCTAAAATTTACTTGTATTCAGTTGATTAAAAAGTATTTTAAAAAACCCAAAGTATTTACTTGATTTACGAACAAACCGAAAGCAGACATTTTTCACGTATAAAACATAAGTGATGCTTTTATTAGTTTTTTACCATCATCTACTCTGAAAGACTAGTGCAGAGCAACCAGAATATAAAAAAATCAAGAATTTTCAAATTGGTTTAAAATTCATAAACACTGTTAGTTAAACATGAGAAGCAACTCAGGTCTAGGTGGAATTCTTTCAATTTAATTTTTGATAGCCTTAAAAAAACCCGCATCAAGTCAAGTCTGTATCAAGTCTTTTAACTGTGAATCGGATTCCAAAAGGAAAAAATTATCCCACAGGCGAGAAAGTTTCAAGTGAATTCGGCTTGCATTTGAGGCAACGATTTGTTTAAACAGATCAAGCGAAAAAATTGATATATGATAAACTCACTGAATGTTTTAGAAAATAACTGAATGTTTTAGAAAATTCGAAAAAAAAACATTATAAAAAAACCTTGAAACAAATTAATTTTGAAATATGGACACTGTCACTAGTCAATGATATAATGGAAACAAAAAAAACATAATTTTTTTTCGGATTAATTTTCAATTATTGAGTTTCATGGGAAAAAAAATTTTCTGAAAACTTTTTGAATTTCAAAATTCATAAATTTAAAAGTTTTTTGATTAAGCTAAGCCAATTTGGAGAAAAATAGATCAATGATGCGAGCTTTTAGACTAGTTAGAAAAACCGCAGCTCGTTTTCATTTTTCAAAGTCTTTTTGTTTTTTCATATTTTAAACGAGTGGCCCATTTAATTTATTCAGACAATCCAGTAACTCTTAAAAATTTTTAACAAGAGCTTTTTACTATGAAAAACTCAATAGCGAAGTAATAATTTGTGAAAAAAAGGCAAAAATCATTTTTTTTCTCTAAAATTTGTAATCAAACAAATAAACATTTTCTGACAATTCAAGAAGAAGCTCAATTCAACTTTTTTTTGAGTTACAGGAAAACAAAAACTTAAAGTTTAAAAACGGCCCATTAAAAAAATAGATAACAAAAATTCAAACATAGCCAACAGACAGACTGTTGAAAAAGAGTCAATGAACGCAGGTAAAAAGAAACAAAATACTGATTTGTTGTTTGAAATCTCCACTTTTGAAGTTCAAAAAAACTATAATAACATATCGAATTTCTAGAGCAAGTTATGATTGGCACTTTTTTGATAAAAGAATTTCTAGAGCAAGTTATGATTGGCACTTTTTTGATAAAAGTAAACTAATTTGAAAAAAATGGATCAATGAATAAAATTTTTATTTCGCTGGCAAATCTGAAAATTAAGTTCTAGTTTTGAAACTAGAAGTCGCTCTCGTTTTAAGAAACTTTTACACTTTCGCTGTTCGATAGTGGAGTTTGTCTTTTTTAAGCAAAAAATGTAGTGAAATTAAAAAGAAATCAAAAGTCAAATCACTAAAAAAATAATTAGAGCCTGAAGAAAATTTAAGACTTCTTCTGAAAAAAAAAGAAACAAAAAATATCATTGCAACCAATATAAAAGTCTGAACTACCTGCATCGCCTTTTTAGAAAAATTACAGCTACAAAATTTCCAGCATTGAAAAAGTTGAAAACGCCAGACATTTGTCATCGCAAGTCTAAGCGTTACCTTAAGGCAAAACTAGCATCTTAAGTTTGATCAACTTAGAAAGAAAGCAAAAAAAATTGTAAGCAAGATGATCAGCGGCAAAAAGTCTAGTTCCCGATTGCAATGCCTATTTTGTTAGGCAAAAAATAGCCCGAAAATTAAGTTTTTTGGTTCTTTCTGCGCAAAAATTCACCAGTGGCACACAGTTCTGGATCTGAAACGTTTAATGAGTGCCTTTCAGATCCAGATAATTATTTTAGTCTAATTAGCTTGACTGCGTTTTTCTACAAATTGATTCAAAAGGTTTAAAAACGAAAATTAAATTGGTCAATTTGGAGTTAAAAGTGACGTTAAAAGGGACCAAAAACTCCACCAATGAAAACAGCAATTTAATGATATGTTTAGTGAGAAATCAGTTGATTGAAATCAAGCGATACCAATTAGTTCACAATCCTAAGCCTTTTACTCATTCGACCCAAATTTGCAAACTCGAACTATAAAAGTGGCTCCATTCAAGTAGCGATGAACATGATACGACCCTGGTTCGATATAATTCAAGAAGTTACCAAGTTATAAATATCAGCTCGAGTTTAATTATCATCACAGTGATGTAAATATTAATTTGGGCCGAACAAGTACAAAAAGAGTTCAGCTGGTTAGTGGAGATATCAACCCACCCCATGGTCCCCAAAAGGACTGTACTACATACGATAACCAGGAGTCCCCCTGCTCCCCCTGAACTGATGAGTCATCTTTTGAGGGAGCAGTACGAGACAAAAGGCCGCCGAAGGTGGGATCTAAAAAGTTATACACTTAGATCTCCTTCTTATAAAAGTAAGGGGTTTGTTCTAAGATTGTCAAATCGACTGTAAGATTGTCAAATCGATTGTCAAAATTATATCTGGCTTAATATTGGTTTCAATAGTGTTAGATCACAATTTGCAGAACCAGTATCATGTCTGTCTCAAAAATCTTGAACAATTTTTTTGGGTCAATAGTCGAAAAATGGTCGCAGAAAACTGTCAATAACTTCTTTCAATCTAATTGACAGTAAGAGTGTAAAATGTTCGTGGTTCTTCAAAACAACAATGTCGGTTTTTTTACCGTAATTGGAAACTCCGAAGAAATTGGCAAGAGATTTTTGAGCACTGGCTGCATTTTTCCCAGGGGACCCCGTAGAATCAGCCACTATTTCACCTCTGTCGACCAGTTTCTCAGTCGGTGAAGTCGGCTGAGAGCAACTGTCTCTGTTTTCATCTTGTGACATATTCTTCCCCAGGCAAGAAAAGAGGGCGGCGCCCGAAATGCGACGCATAGGTATGATCAACTCCTCTACCGGAGGTCGCCAGGGTTCACTGTCGTCCTTTTGTGGCGTCGAATTATCGGACTTCGGCTTTGCGCACTCGAACATGAGTGCATTTGGAGATATAAGAAGGGTCCCTTTCTCGATGGCCTATTAAATTAAAACGATATATCATTGATTTCTCAATTTAAACCATAAAAAATAGTTAGTTAAAAAGGAGTGCCCGATAGTGCGCAAACAAAACAGAAAGTTCCGACCACATTTATTCCGACCACAGAAAGTTCCTTTTTTACCCGGAATATATCCATTCGAGATTATCTGTCAAGCTCACTACTGATGACGCTGAAAACCTTCCTATAGGGATTCGAACCCCTGGCCACCAAAAGAGTCCTCAAAATTATTCAAAGGGACTTCTAAGTTATTCTATGGCACCAACATATTTGAGTGGTGTGTCGAAAAAACGCAATTTTTTGTTCAAATTTTGCAAAAAGTGCTTAAAACCGTCTCTAATGTTTGCAAGGTTTTTTTCAAAAATTTGATTCAGCGCAGAAAAGTTTGAATGAATAGCCTCCTTTTAGGGATTTCTAAGAATTCAAAAAATCATTTTGCTAGAATTAAGAAAATAACGACAAAGTTTTTGAAAATTATATATATTTTTTGAAAATCCCTCGATCTAGAAAATCCTAGATCCGCCCCGGGATTCGACCTCATGATCGCTCAAAGAATCCCAAATTAATTTAAAAAATTATGGCATCTCTTTTGGTTGACTAACCCTAAAACTGTTCACAAGAGCCTTGGGTCCCCTTGTTAGCCCGATTCGAGAAGATTCAACTTTTAATTAAATGCCTTTTTTGCCATTTTTTTGAAACAAAAAAAATAGTTTTTGGTAAATGTAAACAATTTGTTTTTGGTAAAGGTAACAATTTGTTTTCGGAAATCCTCGCACTCGAGAAAACGCTAGTTTTTGGTCTAAATTCAATAAAAAAAGAAACACGAGTGGGAAATCATCAATTGCGGAAAATTCAGAAAGAAAACAGCAGGAAAAAATGAAGAATTCAACAACTTCGTACCTGATGTTCCGCCAAAAACAAAGTGACGTCAGTCTTCAGAAACTTCTGCACACACTCTTCGTTCAGTCGCAGGCTCTCGGCGCGACTCAGAACACCTCTCGGCCTTGCCCCTCGACGATTCCCCGATTGCTGAGCCGCCTGTTTCCGTCTGAACCCAGGTACCGCCCACCCTTCGCCCGAGAAGATTCCGCCAACTGATGATGACGAGGATGATCCGGGGGAGGATCCTTTGGTCCCTATGTCGTCGTCCACTGATGAATTGTGCCGATCTACTCGGCTTGTCCCATTCTAAACAGGAAAAACTCTATGTTTTTTTTGAAAAAATCAATGAAAAAATCAATAAAAGAAAATAAATATGAAATATCAACAACAAGATTTAAGTTTAGGAATTCTCAAATTACAGTCTTGAATTGAAATTAAACTGAAACAGTGTCTGTTAAAAATCGATTTCATTACCCGAACAGAGAATTAGCGATTTAATGATGATGACCAAAAACCTTGATTTTTGTTTTTGTTTGGGTTAGTCAAATATGGGAAACTTATTTTGTATCAAGCCTGAGTTTCGATTTGCACCAATCGAAATAGCTACTGATAGTTTTTCAACTAACCCTAAAGGAAGCTTTCTTCGAGTGGAACAGATTCATACTCGGAACCGATCCGATATTTTTTGCTTTTTCATTCACAAAATTAAACAGTCCACTAGACGATCCTGAAAACGACTTGGTTACTCCTTGGAACGACAGCCTCTTTCCAGTCGGAAATTCCAATCCCCGGCCGGAACCTCCTTCATCTTCATCTTTGCCTATCTCTCCCCCGCCCGACCGGGGGCTGCAAGTTTTGGGGTCAAATGAGACGCTTCTGGAGGCGGGTGGATGGTACCCTCTGACACTCAGTCGGTCTAATTTTTTGCGGGTTATTTTGGGCTCGTCTTCATCTTCAGGGTCGCTCTCTTGTCCCGGTATGGTGAGGTAGTTATTACTCATAATCAAGAGTATATTGGCCAAGATTCTTGTAGATTTTCAAATTATAGTTTTGTTTGTGCAGTTTTGTTTTCTTTCTGATCAGAAAGCGGTAATAACTTGATTGAGTGGTCCTTTGTTGCGCCTCCAGATTTTTGTAAATTTTGACGCTTATGATAATGTTCGTACGAATCGTAAGCACGTTTCGATCACAAAAAGAGCCTTCAGTTTATGGTAAATTTTCGAAATTTTTTAAAATTCTCAGTAATTATTTTTGTCAGTTGACAGTTTTTGAAATATATTTTTAACTTTCAAGATCCTTGTAAACAATAGATGACTTTGTTTAAAGTTTCAAGTCAGTCTAGGCGTTTTCGGTTGATACGTTTTGCAAGTATTGGAATACGGGAAATACAATTTGAACTTGACAAGACAGCTGAATTTTGCGTGCACTAATATGGCTGGTAACTAATTCACACAGGTATAAAGTGTAAAATAAGTGGCGGATAGCAATTTGAGTCCAATTCTGACGGGCTTTCTTTCCATACCATCTGGTGTTGTTGTTATACCGTTAAAATCAAAGCCTAACAAAGTAAAATTTAAATCACAGGCAACAATAAACGTAATAGAAAATTTTAAACCCAGAGATCTGAAACTGCAACCGAGTACTTTAGCCTATTTTAAGTAAAATATGGTCACGGATGAAAAGATCTCTTCAAAGAAGGTTTTTTATAAAAGTTCATAAAAAGTATGGGACGCGTCCAGACATAAATCGAATCTCTGGAATTAAAGTATTACAAATTTTCTATGATAAATTTGATTCTGTAAAGCGGATTGAAACAAATCAAACCACTCGAATGTTTTTAGTTACCATTTGCAGAGTTATCATGTTATTAACAAGGTTTTATTACCAGCCCTGTGTTGAACATGTTATTGTTCCGACTTTCGTAACGAAAGTAACGGAACATTTGTGCTCGGGGAGCGTTTTTTTCTTCAGAGACAAATTTCGACTTTTTAACTAGCCATTTTTGACGGGATTGATTTATATCATTCAAAAGGTATTGTTGTTTTGAGCTTAAATTTGAAAAGATATTTTACCTGTGAACATTTTCTGTAAAGCTATGGGGGTTTAAAGATTATCATTTTGAGCAATTTGGGACAATTTGAGGATGAACTTCACAAAAATTTCAAATTAAAAAAAATTCATTTTTATTTATTACAACCATTTTTTCATCTTATTACTGCTCCATAGACCTTAAGAGGCAGTCGGAACATTCAGGGCCTGGCCCTGATACAAGCAGTCTTGTTAAGACATTGTTTTCAACACATGATGTAATAGCAGCATGCGTCATACACTAACAAAACAAATAGTTATTGCTCCGACCATTAAAAAAGGGAGAAACTTGGTATTCGGATCTGTTTTAATTTTTTTGTAATTTTTTTCAATTTTTTTCGCTTCACCAAATCCGATACCACAAAAATCATCGGACAGATTCAAATGATATATCATATTAAAGCTCTTTTAATCGTAATTCGAATGGCATTAACTTTGATTTTTTAGTCTAATTTCGAGCAGATTAAGCAAGGAACTAGGCGTATAATCAAAATTTTATTGAAGAAAACTTTTATATTTCCGTGTTTTTGTTTCAATTAAATAACACATGACAGCCCGTTTAGTATTGGTAGACCGTTTGGTAAAAACAGATATAAAAACTTAGTAAGAAACTACACACAAGCTTACAGTTGAAAAAAAAGTAATTTTTTTGTAAATGATACTGATGGTTTTTTACTCTACTTGTTCCGATTTTCAAGATAGTGAGGAATAATCATACTACGGGTTACATTTCATTAAAACTAATTTTGCCAAAAAAAAAGTTAGAAAAATTTCTGGACGTGTTACGTATTCTGCCCAAATCTGGTAGCTTTGCAAATTCAATGTATAAAGCCGAGAACAAAAAACTGAGCACACAAACAAACGCGTTCACTTTTTTCTCTAACCAATTTTTAACAAGCCCAATTTTCGAGGTTATATTATGCCAATATGGTCTTTTTTCTACTGGTCTGCTCATTTCGGATTTTCGATCCGAGCAAAACAATGTTGAATTTGAAATAAAAGTGTAATTTTCAAATTGTAATTTGAACTAATTTGATACATAACTACTTAATCTAACCTTTTCACCAATATGGCTGATTTTTAAACGTATCTTAAAACGCGGGAAGTAGAAGTTGCAAATTTTGATTTCAACAAGCAAGAGAACAAATTTTTCTACACGTCTTTTGTTTTTTTTTCTGCAATTGTTTTAGATATAGGGTTCAATGTTTTACCCAGGCTAGTTCTAGTTTTTGGGAGGACTTAGCAGGGCCAAACCTTGAGAAATCCTGTTCGAAGGCGTAAATTAGCCAGAATCTCATATCTTGTTTTAGAAGTGTTTCTGCTGCGGAAACATCTCCGCAAACAATATATGAAATTTGAATTGTTGGACTCAAACTATTTCTTTGCAAAGCTGGTGAATTTGACTTACATATTCCGCCAAAAACAATAAATAACAGAACATAATTGAAAAAGTTACTTAGCCTGGCGGCGGAAAACGGCGATTTTTTTTTTGACAACACATACATTGAACTTTCTTGGGAGCTTAAGCTAAGTTGAACAAAGTTAAACACAACATACTGCTAATGAGAATCTTGTGCACGGACTGGAACAGTAGTATTGTCCAAATTATTCAATGGAATAATTTTTTTTTTACTCATTTGGATCCTCAGCGCAAAATTATTCATTAGTTTTAGACGTTTTCTGATGCCGGGTGAAGTAACTTGTTCAACTTGTTACATGTCGCTTTTTTACAGCATAAGGTGTAAGTCAAGCTTTTCAGCTTCCCAGAGAGGTAATTTGAACTTTTTATTCAGAATTTTTATGTTGTGTGGGAGGATGTTTTCACAGCAAGAATTCCTCTAAAATTAAACATGAGATACTGGCTAATTGCCTTCGAAACAAAGTTTCACAAAATTTGGCGCGGCTTAGTCCTTCCAAACTTAATTTTTATATCATAAAAACTTGCAGAGAAAACGACAAAAGCGTGAAAAAAAAACTTGTTCACTTGATAGTTGAAATAAAAAAATTGCACCTTCTATGTTTCGTGACTGTACTTGAATTTTGCTTACAAAATGCATTAATTTTACACAATAAAAGACTCCAATTTTCGATCACATTTTGATTTAATTCAACAGCTTTTCTCCAATTTCTAGCAGCTTGTAAGCATTAAAATAATCCGAGCAGAAAGCAATTTTAGATAAATTTGAGGCTATTTAATTGGCTTTATTGATTTTTTAAACTAAAAGTAAAGCTTAAAAAGTTGCATGACGTTGAGAAACTTCTCTGCCAGTTTTTTTTCTCGAAATAATTCAAACAAAAAAAACAAGCAAAACCATTTCCATTAAAATCACCGATTGATTAGCAACCCAAACAAAAAAATTTGAACACAGCCTTGCATTTAAATCTTAACTTTTTGCTTATTTATAATGTCATTTATTTAGATTTTTTGGCTAATTTTTTGTCTAGGAGTCTAACTTGATTCTGCTCGCTTTGCGTTGAAAAAATATCTAATTTTGAAGTTGCTTAATGCTACGTGGTCGGGTCGGAACAAAATCTTCAAAACCATTAACAACGTTCACAATGTAACATTTACACGAGAAGTATTTCCGACTAAGCTTTTCAAAGTTTCGACACTGAGAATATCCTCATATAGGATTACGCCTAAAAATATGAGTAAAAATTTTACTGACTGTTAAAGCTCGTGACTGATTATTACAGCGATTTCAATGATATATGCCATCATTTGTTTTATTTAACATTTGCTGTCAAGATTTTATTAGAGAATGATAGCCAGAAATAGCCTCCTGAGCAAAAAAAGTTTCTACCAAATTCAATTGCTGACAGATTTTGGACAATCCTTGATAGCAACATCACTATCACGCTCCAACTGGAGACTGAACAGTTGAAGTAAAAGACAGCAATAGTAGGACATCACACCGTCTATGTCTTTAAAATTTTATTTTTTTTACCGTTGTTATAAAACAATAAAAATTATTTTTACTTATTTTTTTTGCTCTAAGATATGTAAAGTTTTCTGTCCGATGTAAAATAATTTTTTAGTAAATATTTTTTTAAGTCTTTTTAGTAAATATGCCATCTTTTTTCACTCTGAAAAATACTTTTATTTCGAGGAAATAGTCATTAACACAAAAACAGATTAATACCAAACCAAATTGAGTTCAGTAACTAATATACATCATTTGAGAAAGCAAGTTAACAATTTCAAAAAAAACTGCCAAAGGATGCCTCAGAAATCAAATCAGCTGTGATACTGTTCTTCTAGCCCAAAAAATCTCTTTTTTTTTAAATTTTGAAATTTTTTCATAGAAAGTAATTGTCCCAAGCCTCGGAAGAAAATTAACACTACAATCAGCCTTATAACTATAGTCGAAATGCACAGAATTTACAGAAAAGATCCCAAAAACTCAAAATGCTTTTGTTAAAAAAAACTATGGTGAAAATTTGTCTGAACTTCCTATGAAAGAATATTGATAACATCCGGATCATTTTCATAAATAAAATAGTTGTTTCATGCTAGTTCTAATACACAACACATTGATTTGTTTTTGTCAACGAATTTTGCCCCGTGCTTAGTTTTTTAGAACAATTCCTATTGATAGAAAGTTAACACAAACTCTGTGTTCAGAAAAAAAATCCTATTTTCTCACCACGTATTGATGTACTTGAATGCTTCAAAATTTTGTTTTGATGCAACTTCTGTATTGAATATAGATTAGGTTGAAAAATGATTTTTTAGTGAAGAGTTTTTCTTACAAATCATGTGCCCAACTATTCTAAGACTTATAGTTTGCAATGCATTCAATTTACTCTTACGTGTTGTTCTCGATAACAAAATATAATAAGGAATTATTGGTTGTTTGAAATTTTTGTATGCTCTCACTAGTTGTTTTGAGTACAAATTTTCTCTGAGGTGGTAAAATTTCTGCATCATTTCTTTTTAACAGTTTTATGGGCTCATCAAAAAATTTGTTGTAAACTTACTCTTTACATTTTTCCCGTATTTACTAAGAGTAGATGACCAAAGATGAAGAGTAGGGGAACAAAAATAGAATTTTGGGGAACTCCAAACTCAATGATTTCATTTTTAGATGTGAACGGCTCTATCAAGTGAAAACTGACTTCTTTTGATCAAATAGGAGTTGTTTAAATCATTCAATTCCCTCTAATTCAGGAACAGTTTAATTTTTGCGATAAAATGAAAATAAAATAGATAGGAAAATGTTGTAGCTTTGCCTTTACATAAAATTATGGATTGTTTAGCTTGCATTAACTAAATACGGAAAAGTTTTAGCGAATGCATACACAGCTTGTAGAAAATGGAGACGACGCTTATTAACTATTACAAATTCACAGTTTATAACCCCTTATAATTTTTTACATAGCCGTCGATTAAACAAAAATTTGATTGTGGGCTTGAGATGTTAAAATTATTATTTTGAATTAAAAAAATTTCCAAATCCGTTATGATTAATCAAATGATTTATTAAAAAAAATCATCCTGAGATAAATTTTCAGCGCTTTTCCAAAAATTGTAACAACAGTAGAACAAAAGATTTGAGTGAAAAATTGAAGCAGAATCAGAATGTTTATTTGTTTTTCAGATACTGCTCACGTGGTAATGTAGAACAGCTAAATACGGAGTGATAGCAAGTGTAGAAAAAATATCAGCGATGTGGAA